TTGTTTTTGTTTTTTTATCTTTTTTGTACTTAATAGAGGGAGGTAATATTTTTTCATAACCGTATTGACTACAAAATCCACTTAATTCTGTTTTCTTATGTTTTAAGTCATATTTTAATTTAGCTTTTAATTTTAAATCGGTACAAATTATTAAGGCTTCGTTGTTAATAAAACTAATTAAATCTCCATATCTTAATTCTTCATAAGGAATACTTCCATCATATTTTTTGTATAATACATTCTTAACAGTTTGACTAAATAATTCACAACGGGTTCCATATGGATCTTATTAATTAATTATGAGCTACCACATCGAAATTATAAAAGAAAGTTTATAAGAAATAGTTGTCAGTGTAATATCATTTTATATAGAATAGAAGATAAATTTTATTTAACTAGGGTGCGAAAAGACTTTTTGTGGGGGATTCAAGCAAAATCTAAAAGATTGTATGAGTGAGCCTGTCTAATCTGCCCAAAATTTCACTTATTTGCCCAAAATTTAAATGAAAAAATCCTCCCCCCTTCGGTTTGGGAAGGATATCACTTATTTGCCCAAAATTTCAACACCAGTGAAGATCCTTTACTTGCATTTTCTAGTAATTTCTTACTTGCCTGGATAATGAGTTGGCAATTCCATATCACTACACCTCATCCTCCAAAATTCAGGGAATTACAAAGAAAATTCCTCATTAAATGGTGGCCTAGTTTTTCCATCCAAAATGTTAGTCCACCAGTTGTGCAGATATGGATTTCTCAACACCCTCAGATATGTCAGCCCTAACAACAATCAACATTTTTAACACAAAGATCAAAACTTCTGGTTGAGTTGGCGCAATGTCAAATCTCTCAAGATATGGGTAAAATTATTATGACAATTGGATCTTTTTCTTTTTAAAAGGCAGATTCAGATAATACCGAATCACCCGGTGATCAAGATAAGGATGATTATTTTTTAATGTTCCAGAACCAAATCAATTATGAGTTACAACTATTCAAGACATCTTTACCTGATTTTCAAGTGCAATCAATGATCTAAGACTTTTTCAAAGTTTTGTCTTTTTCACTGTCAAGATTCCCTGCAACTTGAAAAATTTCAAAGTTGCAGGGAATATTGACAGCGAAAAAGACAAAACTTTGAAAAAGTCTTAGATCATTGATTGCACATTTTGAAAATCAGGTAAAGATGGTCTTGAATAATTGTCCTTTATTGAACTCATAATTGATTTGGTTCTGAAATATTAAAAAATAACCTTCCTCATCTTAATCACTCAGTAATTTGGTATTGTCTGAATCTGCCTTTTGAAAAGAGATTTCATTAATGAATGATTCTTTGGTTTCTTTAATTTGTAATTATGATTTTGAGGTTGATGGTTGTCTTATAATTTCTTTGAAGACTTTTAAGCATAATAAATTTATCTTAATTTCAATATTATCATTTTGTAATTCTTTAACTTGATTTTTCATAATATTGATTTCTTCTTGCAAGTCACTTATAGTAACTTATATGGGTTTGTTAAATCTTTTTAATATGTCTTTTAAATTATAAGAATCTACATCTTTTTGTTTTCCTTCAACTAAAATTAATTCTTTAAGTTTTAATAAATATTCTCTTTTAATATATTCATCCTCAATTTTGTCAATAATATCTAATAAAAATTCTTTTGATTTTGTGATAACATTTATTGGCTTAAGTCTAGATGTTAATATCATATTTATCAATTTTATTGCACAATAGCAAGACCCCATGCAATCACAATCATCAGAGTCTTGTGAAGACTCATTCATTGATTCAGAAGTATTTTCTTGAATTTGATAAATCATATCTTCATTATCTGTATTGTAACTAGATTCTTCTTCAAAATCTGTTTGAATGATTTTTAATAATTGTTGTTTTAATTCTGACTCTATTTGTAATTTTTTAATTTGATTTTTCATAGGACACTTAGTTGCATAATGGCCCTGTTGTTTACATTTCCAACATGTGATCGGTTTTTTGGATATTTTCTTGTTAGAGGATTTTTTTTTTCTTTTTATAAGGTTTATCATAAGATTTTTGTTTATATTTATAATCTCTTTTGTAATAAGGTTTTATATATTGTTTTTGTTTTTTTATCTTTTTTGTACTTAATAGAGGGAGGTAATATTTTTTCATAACCGTATTGACTACAAAATCCACTTAATTCTGTTTTCTTATGTTTTAAGTCATATTTTAATTTAGCTTTTAATTTTAAATCGGTACAAATTATTAAGGCTTCGTTGTTAATAAAACTAATTAAATCTCCATATCTTAATTCTTCATAAGGAATACTTCCATCATATTTTTTGTATAATACATTCTTAACAGTTTGACTAAATAATTCACAACGGGTTCCATATGGATCTTATTAATTAATTATGAGCTACCACATCGAAATTATAAAAGAAAGTTTATAAGAAATAGTTGTCAGTGTAATATCATTTTATATAGAATAGAAGATAAATTTTATTTAACTAGGGTGCGAAAAGACTTTTTGTGGGGGCTTCAAGCAAGATCTAAAAGGTTGTATGAGTGAGCCTGTCTAATCTGATAAAACAGAGGCCGAGATAAGCCCAAAAGCGTGGCCTGGGTTCACCCACTACACCTGTTTTAGAGCGCATACTTGCTTTTCACACAAGCACCAACTTTAAACCGACTTTTTCTTCCCAACAGCCGAAAGTGCATGTGCCAATTGCCATAACCAAAAATAACAAATCCCCTAACTTAATGTCCTCTTCTGTTTATCTCCAACACTGTTGCAACAACATAACCACCCACCTTAGGGTTATATTTTTGTCTGAATCTTACTACATACATAACATTTGATCGGAATCTGAAACCTAACATTATTTTTTCAAGAACAAATGGATTCATCACAAACCAAGAAATCGCAGAACACCCAGCAAGGAGACTCCCATCAATTTCTCCAAAACGTCGTCGTAATGAGACACGGAGACCGCGTCGACAACTTTGAACCGTTGTGGACAATGACAGCAGCTAGACCGTGGGACCCGCACCTAGTAGAGGAGGGTCGGGTTAGGGCATTCTGTACGGGTCGGAAGATCCGAAACGGTCTTGCGTTCCCAATCCACCGTGTCTTCGTTTCACCTTTTCTTCGTTGCATCCAGACGGCGCACGAGGTTGTATATGCTCTCTGCGCCGTTGATGATGATCCCAATAGTTTGTCCTCTAAAGACGTAGCCTCCATCGATCCCTCCAAGCTCAAGGTCACAAATCACATCACTTATTTACAATTTTACTCTTGAGTTATAGCCATATATTATTGATTATAGAGATCGAGTGATATGTATTTTTTTTTTTTTTTTTGGTTGTTTCTATTTGTATATGTATATTTCTTTTGGTTTAATGACTGTTTCATCTAGTAGGCACTCTATACTGTATGTTTAATGTTGCTATGCTTATTTGTATATTTTGCTGGGCAGATAAAGATGTAATTTATGTCTGGTTATTGGTTGACCACTAAGAGATGCTATAATTGAGATTTATAGTTAAGTGTATGAAGTTACATTCTTTTAGTTTGAACTTTGAATGGATGAATCACTTTTCGTTAGGTTATGCATACTTAAAATTTGAACAATTTCCTTATATTTGCAGGTCTCTATTGAGTATGGATTGTCCGAGATGTTGAACAGGCAAGCCATCAGAGCTAATTTAGCTCCTAAAGATGGGAACTTTGGTTTCAATGCCTCCGAGCTTCAAGCTATGCTCCCAGCCGGAACAGTTGATACTTCTGCTACACGAGTGTATGAAGAGGTAAACACATTACACTCATTCAGTTTGCTTCAAAATTAGGTATCTCTTAGCATTTTGTGTGTGGATGTTTGCAAGCACACAGTTATTTCACCTTACATGGGTTCTTTGCTTGAGAAAATTCTAGTTGCCAAAATGGGAAGAGACGGTGGGTGGTGCAAGGGATAGGTATGCTCAAATTATCAAGGCGCTAGCTGATAAGTATCCTTCTGAAAACTTGCTGCTAGTCACACATGGTAAGTTTCATTCTTGGCATGGTAAACAAAAACCAAATGATTTAATGTGTACTTGTGTTCATTATTATTCTTGTGCTATTGTTGGCCGTACCGTCCCTGATAACAAATAACCAGGATAAGTCTCCCTAGCACTTGAAATGACCAATTTGAACAGAAAGCAACAGGCCCTCTCTCTGCATTATTGCCTTCATGTAGTCTTGGAAAAACTACTCAATCTGTCATAATATGGTTGTTTCGGCTCATGTGATTATCAAACATTCTTCTAAAGTATGAACTGCAATTCTTGCAAATGCAGGGGAAGCAGTTGGGGTTGCAGTCTCTGCATTTGCAAAGGACAAAACTGTCTATGAAGTTGACTATTGTGCATATGTGGAACTAAAAAGACCAGTTGAGAGCAAAAATGATTCATGTTCTGCTGGAGATTTTGAGGTTTATACGGATCATGGTAAAACTGGTGTAAGTTATGTTGTGGGGGATGGTTCCTTGCTTGATCATGTATAACTTTTTGCATGTCAAACAGCTTTGGAAGCATGACTTGAGCCCTAATTTTAGTATGTTGGGCATTGACATAATCTCTCCTGTCAGCTTGATCGACATTACAAATCTATTAGACTACTGGTTTTACTTGATGAAGGAAAATTTTATTTCTTACATGGATTATTAGTTGATGGAATATTGAAATAATTGCATAAGCCTCTCAATGCCAACTTATCAAGTTATGGCTTTTTCTTTTAATATTTGAAATCTTAAGAGAATGATGGTAGGTTACTCCTAAACTTAACGCATGAGATGAGGACTGTATACGCACAAATGAAATTAACAAGCCTCATAGGCATCTCCAACTCTTTCAAAACTTAAAACGTGGTTCGATCAGTCATTTAAATTTAAGCGAAAATGGGTTATAATGGCACGCAGCAGGCACTTGGCATACCCAACACATTATCATTTACTGTAACACCTAAGTGACAAGCTATCATTTAATGTAGATCACAGAGTCTTAATACAAAGAATAAAAGTTACAAGAATTACCAGTTCACAAGGATTTGCATCAAATTTTGAAGCGCAAGAAACTAATCAAATGTTCATCATCAGCCCGGACATGACACCAGCCTTGTAGTCAATAAATCACCAGTCCGATGGGCTGGGAAGTGGCTCAATATGATCAAACATGTCGGTTGGGAAATCATCAAAGAAGGCATCTGGGTTCACTGGGTTGTCATATTCTTCCTTGACAATGACATCATTCCTAAAACTTCTCACTGGCTTTAAAAATGATTCTTCAACAGGAAGTTGTGCTCCATTAGTAAGTTGAGGAGCATCTACTGGTCCAAACACATCGAAAAAGTGAGGGTCCTCTAGCCCAGCCAACAGCTCTTGGCTATCTGGTGAAAATGTAAGGTCTTGTTGAGGTTGTAGAATGTTGGGAAATGGAATCTGTAATTGAGAATCAGTGCAAGGATAATTCTCATATGGGGCAAGCTCAAAATGGCCGTCGAAATGAAGCAACTTAGGATTAACCAAATCTGGCAGCGGAACCATCTTAATAGTTCCGGCCTTCTCCATGTTGGATGACGAGCATGACGGAGCCTTTGAGGATAACTCTTCCTCCATTGAGGAAGTGAATTTTGGAGCCTAAGAGTGAAAAACAAAACGCATGTATTATAAACACATAACAAAGATCACATAAATCAACCAGCATGATGCATATTTTTAATTTGTCCTTCATTACCGAAATTCTGTAACTAAACATGTCAGCGAATCATTGAGTCAAACTACTTACAGACCTTAGACAGGAAGTAATAAATTCATACATTAAGCACATATGTCTAACTAAAAGTTTGTCTAGACACTATAAAGACCCAATTTTGCAGATTCTGAACCTCTCGTCATATAAACGAGTGGAGATATCTTAAAAACTTAGGCATGTACTGGCTACCAGTATTTCAATAAAATTAAACCGATGAAATTGCTTACAAATATGCAAATGAAAATCCATAAAATTACTTGAAAAGAACAAAAAAATAAATGGATGCAAATAATTTACCTGTAAAGTGGGAACATCATGAAAAGTAGAAACTTCCCTACTAGTTTTGTGGGATTTGGAGTGGGAAGAGGAGGGTGTTGCTGAATTCTGCAAAATTCGGGCCAGCCTCTTTTGCCTACTACTCCAAAAATTCTTGACATCATTGTCAGTTCTCCCAGGCAAATACGTTGCTATTCTTGCCCATTTGTTCCCAAACTGTGCCTGTAATTCTATCACCACTCTCTCTTCCTCCAGTGAAAATTTACACCCACTAAACAGAACCGAATCAATAAACAAGTAAATTAATCACTTTCTCATGTAACTTAATGCATGGGCAAAAACTAAACCTAAAAAAGTAATATAACTTACTTCTTCAAGTTGGGTCTAAGTTTGTTGACCCAACGAAGACGACAAGACTTGCCAGTTCTGTGTAAAAGACCTTTGGATCGAATGGAGCTCCAGTCTCTTGGTCCGTACTTTTTCACATGGTTTATTAACACTTCATCTTCCTCTGCTTTCCATGGCCCTTTCCTTATTTCTTCTCTTTTTCCTTCCATTGTTGATTGAAAAACCAACATTCAGTACATTTTTTTGTGTTCAATTTTCCGACTTTTTTTGTCTTTCTTTGTTTCTGAAGTGACGGTTAAGGCGGTTAATGCCACTACCCATTCGCTATTACACCCCACATTCCCTAATTTTTCTCACATTCAAACTAGCTATTCAAATTACATATATGCCCCTGATTCTTTTCACTGATAAATCAAGTTTCTACAATGTTAGTAAGACCCGGACCGGGCCTTTACCAGGTCAAGAGGCCGGTCCAACCGGTGGACGATGATGCCAGTATGACATATTATTATTTGGATTTGGATTTTAAATTTATTTTATTTATCATTTTATCTTTAGATTTGGATTTTCGATTTATTTTATTTATGTTATATTGTTATTTGGATTTGGATGAAATTATTTTGGAAATTTATAATAATGTAAAATTTTATTATGTCATGCTGACATCATCAGTCTAGTTCTCTAACCCTACGGTTGAACCGACGATTCAACACTGTTCCACCGGTTCAACCTCAGGTCAATCCGGTCTAACTGTTATAACCAGATTTATGATATACCCAGACTGGATAAGGGTCCTTCTTGGTCAGACGATCGAACTGGGCAGTCCAGTTGCGGTTTTAAAATAATGCTTTCTACTCCTAATTTCTTAGTGATAATAATCTAATTTAATACTCCAAATTGTTACGTATTTAATTACATTGACTGATTTGGAAGAGTCTTTCTCTAATATATCATTCTATTTGCATTTGTTAAACTATTCCTTTATGCTGAAGACATGTTTAATTTCTTTATTGATGCTACTCTCAGCAGATTATTAGAGCAGACAGATGATGTTCACATGGTTCCGAGCTAATTTACGCGCACCCAACTAATATCTTGACACCCTAAAATTATTAATTGGATAAGAATTCTAATAACTACCTTTATTAGCAACTGATGAGGGATTCGAATTCAAAACCTCTTAAATAATACACCTAAGAGTCTATATGGAATCATTAGTTTAAATCTTAAATCTTAATTAAAAGTAATACTACACTTATAAAGAAATCTTATAAAGATCTCTATACAAAATGATGTGACAAAAAATAAATAGAAAAATAAATATAATGAGTTTAACTCATTATATTTATTTTTCTATTTATTTTTTACCACCTTACTTTATATATAAATCTTTGTAAGTATAGAATTATTGTCTAATTAAAGCCAGCATCACCAATTAGAAAGGTCAAGGCTAATTATTTTTATTATTCACAGATAACTTCTAACCAATTAATTAATATATAGATAGTCTTTTTTTAATCCTTATATCCGAATTTGTATAGCGATAAATAGTTGGCTAATTATCATGCAGAGATATCAAAACAAAATATTTGTTCTGTGGACTTCCTTGTTCAAGAAATCTGCAATGGCAAATGGTAAGTAACTTAAGACTTCTCATCTTTAAAAGCCCTTATAATGGGCATGAATTTTACGAGAATTTGAGCACTGTAGGTTTATATTTTGATTTCATCAGTTAAATTATTTATTACTACTGTAATTTGTTTCAGAAATTTCTCGAGTGGAAAGAGATCTTCCACCGGCGCACTACACACTAAAAATAGAGTCATTTCTCTTCTGGTGAAATCAGAGAAAGAAAAATATGAATCTGATACTTTTGAAGCCGGGAGCTACAAATGGTATGTTCCTATCAGCTCTATATATCCATTTATTCAGATGGATCCAGTTTACTAATTAGTTATTGTTCTGGTGGCATGGAATTATTGATTCAGGAGACTGGTTCTCTATCCAGATGGAAACAAGAAAAGGAATGGAAACTGCCATATTTCTCTCTACTTGGAAATAGATGGCGTCGAATCTTTTTCTGATAATTGGGAGGTTTTCGTAAACTTTAAATTGTTTGTATTCGATCAGATACATAACAAATACTTGACCATTCAAGGTAATTTTTACATTTTCGTGCCATTTTTCTTTTGACTTTTTAATTTTATATATAAAATATGTACATGTATTGTGGTGTAGATGTTGATGGAAAAGTAAGACGCTTCCACAAGATGAAGACTAAATGGGGTTTCGACCAACTGGTTTCTTTTGAAGATTTCTATAATTCATCAAAGGGATACCTTGTTAATGGTTGCTGTGCTTTTGGAGCTGAAGTTTTTGTTATAAAACCAACTCACAAAGGAGAAACTCTTTCCATGGTCAAGCTCAAGCCACCTACTGGTAAAGCAATTCTAACTTCGAAGATTGAAAATTTCTCAAAATCAGATAAAAAGGTCCACTATTCTAATGAGTATCCTGTTGGCGATAGAAAATGGTATGCTACTACAATTACAAACCTAGCTAGATTCATGCTTAAATAAGTGTCGTTTCTTCTTCTTAATAATTTATTCTGATTTCAGGAAAATAAAGATTTACCCCAAGGGATACGATTCTGCAGAAGGCGATTATTTATCTGTTTACTTAGTGTTAGATGCTTTGGAAAAAAAAATTCCACCTAAGGGGTCAGTTTATGCAGAATGCAAGCTGCGAGTACTGGATCAACGCCACGATACACTTTGTAAAAGAGGTTTCGGACATAAGAGGCAAATCGCAGGACTTCAGTTTTCGAAGTTCAACATGACCTCCAAACACTGGGGGCAGATCTTACGTGTGATTTTGCCGGAAGCTCGAAAGTCCCGTAAGCTCGCAGAGTTATAGTTCGACCCAAAATTAGCACGACCCAGCATAAGCTCGACCCAGCATAAGCTCATCACAACTAATATCTACCGTTGTTCGACAAGTCATAGGATAAGCCTTATTCCCTAATATCTTGAAAGAGATATTATCTGCACTGATATCAGCGTGATCTTAGCACGCAATCACTATAATCTTGAGATTGCATGTCAAATCTAATCGCAATCCCGAGTTAATCTCACTTTCCTTTGTAAATTTTATGTATAAATATCACTAAAACAATGAGAAAAAGGTTAGCAAATAATTACAGGCAAAATACACTTGTTTTGTAACTCTCGAAAGCAATAATATAACAGTGAATGTAGGCTTAAGTTTTAACTTGTCGAACCACTTTAAAAATTGGTTTGTGTTCTTGTTTTATTGCTTTCTTTTTGTTCATTGCTGTTTTTTTTTTTTTAAATCACGTACACATCCGTTCCAATCTCATCAAAGTCGATTAGATCACTTTAATTGGTGTAAATTTTCGTATCAACACCATACATGTTGATATAGCTATTTGAAGATAAATAGTTTGTAGTACCTGTTGAACACAAAGAAAAACACTAATGGAGGAGACGAAGACAGATTTCTCAAAATAATGGATATATTTGTGTTGCACAAAGTTCATTCTCCGCGGAAAATACAGTAAGGTGATCCTTATTTTCGGAAGCTCTAGCATTGGCACCATCGACCTGCTTCTTGCATATTCTGACCAGTCAAAGCGGAATTGTTATCAACTCAACCCCATTTAAATTGTTCTCTCTTTCCGTATTAGAATTCATAGTTAGTCTAAATAATCTTCTGTTTTTCACTTTTGATATTCTTTCAAGTAAAAAATATTAAATCAAATGACTCAAATCCATCTATCTTTTACAACTCTTTGCAAAATTTTCTTGCAAACCTAACTTTTTGCCTGAAGGGAAAAAGGAAAAGAATTTTTTGATTAATTTATGGCCACATTCTCTTACAGTCTCACTTTTCCGCGAATTCACATTCTCTTACTTTGTCCGCGAATTTTACAAAGCTTAGCTGTTAGAATACTAGGTTTACGAGAGTTGTCTTAATTGAATTAATAAGAGATTAATTAGATAATCAAACAACTCTGAGTAATATAAATATCTTGAATCATTCAATTAAGGCATGAAAATAAAAAAGAAAGAAAGAAAGCAAAAAAGAGTAAGACACAACAGATTTATAGTGGCCCGGCTAAATAGCCTACATCTATTCTTCAAAGCTCACAATAGGATGTTATTAATCATGATTTCAAGCAGTATAAAGAAGAATTGAAACAGAGAGTACAAGGAAAGAACACACCCGAAAATCAGACCCTAGATTTCTCTATGAGAGCTTCTCCTTTCCTTCACCAGCCCACCCCATTATTAACACAAACACTTCTCTCAAGATTGACCTCCACCTGTCTTGAATTTCTCCACAGCCGTGAGATGAACAAAGGGCTAGAATCTCTTTATATTCATGCTTCCAATGAGAATAAAATTGTTGCAAGAGAAACAGATCAAATGACACAAATTGAAAATTGATCCAAGGAGAAAAACGACGTCGCACAGGCCATTTTTTTATTTCTTTATAGAAAGGCTGACTCCACCTGGCAAATATAAGCCACATCACCACATTAGCTATCTAGCAATTTCATTAACACAAGACACGCACATCTTAATTAGTATGGTCTCTTATCCAAACAATCTGCTAGTTCATTAACACAATACACGCACATCTTAATTGGTTGCATTGAGTTTTTACTTAGTGCTCCTTCCGACCTTCATCAACCCAACAGGAATTGGCACTCAGCTTTTGCCAAATTTTACTGTTCCAGAGCTTTTCTATCTCTGGCCAAAACAAAAAATACTAGTAATAAAGTTTCCTGCTCCCCGTCTTTTACTGTTGTCAATGTTCCACTCGATAGTAATGATCAATACTTCAAGATTGATCCCACAAGCCTTACAGAGCTTGTGAAGAACAAAAATCTTGACAAATTTTATGAGTTTGATGGGATTTATGGCATAGCTTCTGCTCTTAAAACAGATATTGATGGAGGAATATGTAGCAGCGAAGAAGATATTGCTCGCCGACATGAGGCATTTGGTTCAAACACCTATAACAAGCCATCAAAAAGCTTCATTCATTTTGTTGTGGAAACATTCAAAGATCTTACAATGTTGAGTCTTTTAGGCTATGCAGTCCTTTCACTTGCTTTTGGCATAAAAGAGCATGGTCTGAAAGAAGGTTGGGATGACGGTGGAAACATTTTTGTTGCTGTCTTTCTTGTCAACGCTGTTTCAGCTGTAAGTAATTACAGACAAAACCGAAAATTCGACAAGCTATCAAAAGTGAGCAACGGTATCCAAATTGAAGTCGTTAGAAACGGTCTGCACCAACGAATTTCAATATTTGAAATTGTTGTTGGGGACATTATATGCTTAGAAATTGGAGACCAAGTTCCTGCTGATGGATTGATCTTGGATGGGCATTCCTTACTATTAGACGAATCAAGCATGACAGGGGAGAGTCATCATGTTTAAGTAAACAGCAGCCATAATCCATTCTTGTTTTCTGGCACCACGGTAGCTGACGGGTGTGCTCGTATGTTAGTCACATCAGTTGGCATGAACACACTGTGGGGCCAAATGATGAGTCAACTCAGTCTTGACGCCAGTGAACGGACACCTCTTCAAGCTCGACTTGACAAGCTAACTTCGTCAATCTGCAAAGTTGGATGGACGGTTTCTTTCATGGTTCTTTTTGTCTTGATGGTTCGCTACTTTACAGGAAATCCAACAGACGAGAATGGAAACCAAAAATTCATTGGAAGAAAAACAAAGGTTGACAACACTGTGACTGCTGTCATGGGGATTGTAGCTGCTGCAATTACAGTCGTCGATGTTGCAATTCCAGAAGGTCTTCCATCAGTTGTTACACTTACTCTTGCGTATTCGGTGAAGAGAATGATGGCTGATCAAGCTATGGTAAGAAAGCTCTCTGCCTGTGAAACAATGGGCTCTGCAACCGTCATTTGTACTGATAAAACAGGGACTCTCACGCTTAACCAGATGAAGGTGACAATGTTTTGGCTTGGCCAGGAACCTATCAAAGAGGGTTCTGCTTCTTCAATTTCTCCCTGGGTTGTTGAATTGATTCAACAAGGAGTTGCTCTGAATACAACTGGTTCTGTCTACAAGGCTACTTCAGGATCTGATTTTGAAATCTCAGGTAGTCCCACTGAAAAAGCAATTCTTTCTTGGGCTACCCAAGATCTCAACATAGATATGGAGAAAATAAAACAGAGCTGTACAATTCTCCAAGTTGAGGCCTTCGATTCAGAAAAGAAAAGGAGTGGCGTTATGATGAGGAAGAAGATAGACAACACAATCAACCTGCACTGGAAAGGAGCAGCTGAGATGATTCTAGCCAAGTGTTCGAGTTACTATGATGCTTCTGGAAACATGAAGAATCTGGATAATGGTGCAAGGGAAACGTTTGAGCACATTATTGAAGGTATGGCAGCCAGCAGCCTTCGATGCATTGCTTTTGCGCATAAACATGTTTCGGAAGAAGATGCAAATGACGCGAAAAAGTTAAATGAAGACAGCTTGAGCCTATAGGACTGGTGGGTATTAAGGACGCATGTCGTCCAAGGGTAAAGAAAGCTGTGGAAGACTGCCAAGGTGCTGGAGTTAACATCAAGATGATCACTGGTGACAATGTTTTCACTGCAAAATCCATAGCCACTGAACGTGGAATACTTACGCCAATTGGATTAGTTGTGGAAGGAGAAGAGTTCAGAAACTACACACAGGAGCAGAGATTGGAGAAAGTTGACAAAATATGTGTGATGGCAAGATTCTCTCCTTTTGATAAACTGCTCATGGTACAGTGCTTGAAACAGAAAGGTCACGTGGTTGCAGTCACCGGGGATGGCACATATGATGCACCAGCTCTGAAGGAAGCAGTAGCCACGGTTTTGAAATGGGGAAGATGTGTCTACACCAATATCCAGAAATTCATTCAGTTCCATCTTACAGTAAATGTTGCTGCTCTTGTGATAAACTTTGTAGCGGCAGTTTATGCGGATGAAGTACCTCTAACATCAATCCAATTGTTGTGGGTGAATTTGATCATCGACACATTAGGCGCCCTGGCTCTGGCTACAGAGCGACCAACGGGCGAGCTCGTGGACAAACCACCTGTGGGTCGTATCAAGCCGCTTATCACGAATGTTATGTGGAGAAATCTTCTAGCTCAAGCTTTGTATCAGACAAACATCCTCTTGACCTTACAGTTCAGAGGCCAATCGATCTTAGGTGTTGATGAGAAGGTAAAGGACACCTTGTTCTTCAACATATTTGTCCTTTGCCAAGTCTTCAATTTGTTCACCACAAGGAAGCTTGAAAAGAAGAACGTCTTTAAAGGGATACACAAGAACAAGTTATTTTTGGAAATTATCGCAATAACCATCATTCTTCAAGTATTGATGGTGGAGTTTCTGAAGAAGTTTGTAGATACAGAGAGACTGAATTGGGGTCAATGGGGTGCATGTATCAGTATCGTAGCTGCATCTTGGCCGATTGGTTGGCTTGTTAAATGCATACCTGTTTCAGAGAAACCATTTTTCAGGCTTTCAGCTATCTCAAGTGGAGAAGTAGATATTGAAAATCCAGACATAGCAACAATTATTTGATTTGTAAAAAGATCCTACATCGATTGGGTTCTTTAAGTTTTACCATGTTGTGTTTCGTCTTAAAGAAAAGGCTGATTATACACTGCTTAGTCTTTCATTAAATAGATTCAGCTATTCTACCATATTGACAGTGTGAAATTGTTCTGTTTTTCAACCTATAGAACCACAAAACCCCTCTTGGGCACCAAGATTTAATGTAATATCTAATTATTGTCAAAGTACTAAACCAAGAGAAAACAGTAGAGTTACCTTAATCTTTTTCAGGTTAGAAACATTTCTACGAAACTGAAAT